CGGTAACGTGCAGCAACTTCGCTGCTGAACAAAAGTTACATTTTGGGCGTCTTAAAATGCAGCACTGTCAAGCAAAAATCAGCCTCATAATAATACCAACTTTAGCTATTTAGCTAGAGACATGAGCAGACACATGTACACCACTAGCGATTTTTGTTACGAACAAACATTCCATAAAATATTAAAACGCAACCGAACTAAGGTGATTCAGTGGTTTTCATATTTTATTTACCAAGGAATTATTTTCATGTATGCGTTTCTTTCGGTGCCTCTGTGGCGTTGGTAACCATCTTGCCGATGATTGGCGTGATACTGTGGAGACTTGTCTTACCCATGACAACACATGTGAACGCGCAAAACGAAGGGGTAGGGCTAAGTGGTAGGGCCAAGGGGTGAAATAGGATTCACCCTTAATTTAAGCGAATTGCGATGCAGCCCTCGTCTGATCCCCGCTCGTTCGTTCGTTTTTCCGCATTTTCAAGCGACTGCAGTACCGTACCGTAGCAGCCGGTGAGCAGTACGGGTGGGCGAGTCTAACTAGTGGGAGAAGTCGGGGATTCACTTCAGCACTCGGACGTTTGACAGGCTGATCCGGTACATATCGGAAACTAAAAAGAGCCGTTAAAAAAGAATGGTTCGTTCATTTTTGCCCATCACTGGCCTGTTAACACATCCACAATCATGGAGCAAGGTACAAGCCTTGAACTTCATATGCAGTAGGTCCTAGTAAAGTAGGCTTGTTGCTGCAACGTCATTCAGTATCAGTTTGCTTGCGAAACCCGTGGAATGCTTTATCAGATTATTCGAGTAGTCCTCCGGGTACGTGAAGTGTTCACTACACAAACGGACCTGTTGATCTTTTGGTTCAGGACATGCACATTTCGCAAGCCACTGCATCCGTAGACGCTTCCTTTTCTTGCCAGCTGGCAACTTGTGAAATCTAGCATTTCGCGGACTGTTTCTATCCGAAACAGTGCAGTGTTTAGCGATACAATACGGCATTTCACGATGAAATGATGGACAAAGGATACCAAACGAACACGAGGTACAAACACTGATCTATATAGAATAACTATATATTGTATTCTATATAGATCAGTGGGTACAAAGCGGAGATTACTACTGTCAATACGCACACCTAACGTCACTTCCGTTGAGATCGGTCATGTGACTGGACGAAATGGCTGCGCCCATGAGAGTATCAAAAATTTACTAAGTAATCGGCTTAAAACTATACAAAACGCTATCGGATAGCACTGAAATTTTGTACCTACCTTCTAAACATTATAAACTATCGATTGACATTATTTCATTTTTTAGCATGATGGCAATAGTTTCCCTTTAACTTCCGATGACTTGCTAGGTTTTGCCATGGCAAAACATAAAAAATCACTGATAATTTTTTATGTATCTTACTGTATACGATGAGGCAAAGCCTTGTAAGTACAAAAATGGTCCTAACTTAGTTGCGACCAAAATTAGACTTCCTAGGTTTTTCCTATAACACTCGAGCAGATCATCCACTAAACTAGTTAGGTAAGAGCAATCGCTCTTCGTTCGTTTTACAGGTAAAGTTTCATGAAGTTTGTCGAGTAAATGGATGAGAAGGTAAACTCCACTGCTGAACATCTACAGCAGGGCTCCTCAAATCTGGCCCTAAAATCCTAATGCAGCCCTGGTTTTCCCTCCTTCCAGGCCATTCGGCAATTAATTATTGCCTCTCTTTGTCCAGACTGTGATCACACCTTACTATCGGGTAAAGGGAGGGTGGAACACTAGCATTTGTCTGCCCTTGAGGACCATTATCCGGGGCAGAGGGCTCTACAGCATCCAAAGGTTAACTAGGCATGGGACTCTCTGTGAACACAAGAAGTGGCAGTTGCTGTGTACTGTGGGAAAAAAGATCAACTGTAGCATGGTGTGACTTACAAACTTCCTCGAAGGAACATACATTTTAATTTTTAATCCCTTAACCCTTTAACTGCCTGCTCAACCTTTTGGCAGAGCACATTTTGAGTCAGTATTTCTAATTGAAAGATGTGTTGAACTTAACAGATCAGATTTTTTTTCAGCATTACAGACTGCAAATGATTATTGGAGAAGGCTTCATCAGGCTAAGTTCAACACGTCTTTCAATTTAATACAGCGACTCAAACTGTGCTTGAACAAAAGGGAGCAGGCAGTTAAAGGGTTAAACTGTAACTTTGCACTTACAGTATGTTTTCCCTCAAGAAGGTTCAAAGTCAGAGTTTTTTTTTTTTTCCATATAGTAGAATAGTAGAACAACGCCACATACATATTCTGTATCTGCTGGTTGCAGCACTTCACTGAAAATACATCACGCTTATAGTGAGAGACATATACAAAGATGCAAGATGCGATGTTCTCATGGCTGCAGCATTACATCAAATGGAAAATATCTTCATCTTGTGGACCATTTTATACACATTTCCTTGGAATTCAATGGGACATATTATGGATCATTGGAAACCTTGGGATCTCCACTAGAATTTAAAATAAGTTCACAGTTCCGCAGGTTTGAATACAGCAGCTGCACGTGTTGGACCCATATGTGGGTCGGTACTAGGTTTTATGGAGTTAACCAAATTAGTTGGGGGAATTTAGGGACAGAATGGATCAGAAGGAAACATTGTAAAAAGGGAAAAAAATAAAATTAGATGCTCTGGGATGGTTTAAGGAATTGGGAAAGAGAAGCAGAAAAAACCTGAAGTGTGCAAAAAACCGGAGTTCTGCTCAAACACCATTCTGGTGAAATAATAAGGTCATGAGAAAGAGACACAAAAGAGACTGAGCAAATCTCCAACCTCCTCCTAAAGGGGCTTTCATATACGTTGTATGATTTTTTAAAATATCGTACGATTTTAGTGAGTCCGCGACAGAGGGGACATATGTTTGGGAGAGGAGGATTTGAAAGCTGCATAGTTGCAATCTCAAAAGAATATGTCATACTACCGTCACAGGAAAATGTGTCATTAAAAATTTTAAGACAGCCGTGTGACTGACGTAAGATAGAATTATAATCGTTCAATTGACTCACGGCAGTCGCAGAAAGGACGTACCATGGTGGAACATTCACAGGACTGTAGTCGGTTTAACGTAGGACGACAATAGGTTTATCGTAGGAAATTCCAAAGATAATGAGGACCTCAGATGACCCCAAAAATCAAACAAAATGCTTAACACAGTTGAACAACCTTGTTCGGCACCGCACGACAGACCTACGAAATGGGCCTGACATAGAGAATCACCTACGATGCCAAAAAAATTTTGAACATGTTCAAAATTCTATGACGAGGGTCTACGACAGCCTTTTCCGACATGGAATACCTGAATTTCTAAGGACATACTCATGAGTGTCTCACTAATTACCTCAAGTCTTCGTCATAAACCTGTTGTATACTGCCCTACAAAGCCTAAGTGCAGTAACTACATATTGGGTAAAATGAGAGTTACACAGTTTTGGGCCAGAAAGTATATTGAGGTCAGGATTTATTTGGACAGAAATTATACCATGGTGAGTCAGCTAATCATAATCTATCGCGGAATTGCTGACTATTTATTTGTTGCGACAGCAAACAAACTCTGAAGCAATTTTTTACTGTTTAAATTATTGCGTAGTTACGGCACTTAGCCTTTGTAGGGCAGTATACCAGTTGTACAACGTAGGGGAAAGCCCCTTAATGAGACACTTCACCCAGAGTCTCAGGTCTGTTGCCTGGAACCAGCCATAGATCAGTAGATGCAAGTTAGAGTTTTCCGTACAACTGTCCATTGCCCTTGTGAAACCTATTATGGGATTCATTGGGAAGCCGAAACAGGTATATTCAAGACTCATGATTCATGAGAGTGGAGCCATTATACCATGCCCAAATTCACCATGTAATACCCCTAATATGTTGGTCTGAAAAGTGTCAAGTGACCAGTGTTCTGTGTAATATCTGTACATGATATTAGGCAATGGAAGACAAGGTAATTTTATCCACGCAGCTGCCTCTTCAAAGATACTCACAGATGATGGTGAATTAAGGACAGATATCTGAAAGCCATACTGGAAGGTGCCTCCAATACCAGTAACCAGTATGGTGGCTATCAGCATAGGACTCTCCACCTAGTCAGGAAAAAGCAATGATCAAAAAACCCACAAAAACAACACAAGATTATGACTCTCTAAACATATGTACTTTACGATAGTTTATATTAAAATATGAGCCATTGTTATTTCACATCACTGACAGATCAGTGAATTCAAAAATTACCAAATTGTTCAGGAACTTTCCAAACTGTTTGTGGAAAAAAAAATCTTCGGTGAATTTCTTTTATTTGACAAAGTTATGAAAGATTTTGATTTCATCAAGACAGACAGTGCCCCCCAGAATTATTAACACCCTTCATGGAAAAGCTGCGAAAAAAAAAAACAAAAAAAACTACTACTGCTCCTCCTCTCGGTCTTTCACACAAATATTCCTCAAAATCTCACCTTTTTATCTAAATAAAATTACTGACAGAAAAAAATGTTGACATCAAATAAATATTTTTCTCCAAAACATGTATGGTACAATTATTGCTGCCCCTGGAAAATCCCGTTATTAAAAACTGACTGAAGCATATCTCCCGTCATATTTTATATTCATACGTTCAAGTGATTGACTGGGAACTGTTAAGTGGTAAACCATGTTTTGCTAGGGTATAAATAGCTAGGGTATAAATATGAGGTCACATGGGCCAAATTTCCATCCATTCTCTATACCGCTTCTTCCTCACTAGGGTCACAGGGGAGCTGGAGCCTATCCCAGCTGACTCTGGGCGAAAGGCAGAGACCCACCCTGGACAGCTCTCCAATCCATCGCAGGGCACACACACCATCTTTTCATACCTATGAGCAATTTAGCATCTCCAGTTTGCCTGACTTGCATGTCTTTTGGACTGTGGGAAAAAACCCATGCGAACACTGGGGAGAACATGTGTGGCAGGCCTAAGCAGGGCCCAGGCGGGGAATTGAACCCCAGACTCCTGGGTAAGAGTCACGCGTGCTGACCACATCTCCAAAGAACCAGGCTCGTTGGCAAGGTAGCCAGGGCGTGCACTTATTAGGAGGCATTCTTACTGACAGGACCCATCATCTGTTACACATGCAAACTCCACAAAGAAAAGCTCTAGGCCAGATTCGAACCCACAATGTTCTTGCAGCGAGGCAATAATGCTAACCACTTTGGTGCCGTGCCAATGGGCCAAATCTGCTGTCAATTAACAACAAACTAAACCGCCTGCTGTTTGTCATATGTTACCAGGACTTCCAATGGGATCAGGACCCACCTGTATCAAGGGTTCATTATCTAATGTCATGATTAAATAAAGTCCGCACACTGAAGGAGAATGCTCCCCAAAAAATTTATTCAGCGTGTCGAAATGGTGACACGCTGAATAAATTTTTTGGGGACCATTGTCCTTCAACATGCGAACTTTACTTAATCATTTCATTCGCAGATTCTCAGATTGTCCTGCACCTGTACTCGAGTGGATGTGCATGCTCTACTTTTTTAATTTTATACATTATCTAATATGACATTAAGTCCTAATAAGTAATTAAATCCTTAATGTGACACTGGTTAAGGATTCCATTTAAACCTCTTGTACGAACCTTTCATTAACGTGTCATTTACTAATGAAGCTGTAATGACAGAGCCTCCATTAACTTTCCATTAAAAGAGGGATTCCCCCAGTTAATTACCCGTAATTCCTTATCATAAACAAGAACTTTGAACTTCCTGTAGCCTGTTTTCATGTAAATTTGCCACAATTTCAGCATCAAAGTTTGTAATTGTTGATATATAAGTCGATGAGGTTATGGTGAAATCTCTAAACTTTGCTATTAGCTTGTCAAATCGAAAGTTCAACAAAATGATGTAATACCATTATCATGGTCCTGAGGCATTCATTCACATGAATCAAACAATATTAAACTATAGGTAATGTTTCTTATGTATAAAAATACTTCATGCACTTTTCTTTTTCTCTCTACAAACACTACTAGCACCTAAAAACTGAGAAATTCCTAGGAAAACTTAGAATACGCCAAGGTTTAGTGAAGATTTGAGGCCAACTCGGTTAACCTTGGAAAAATTTTACCGAGGTAGACTGAAAAATTTTCAGATGCATGAAAAAACATGAATATTTGCCGAATTTCGTGGGAACTTCGGAATGGTCAGTACTGTAGTTCAGCCTGCTGTGTCTGTGCTGCATACAGGAACTGGCAAAGAGCAGACCACCACCATTATATTAAGAACAACAAAAACACATGTTCAGTATTCAGAATATATTCAATCTGCAAAAGCACCAATTTACAAACAAATCAGATACACAATGTCATTTTTAAAAGAGGGTACCTTGAGAGAAAGTGAACAAATCAAGGTGTTGTCCAAACTTAAGTAAACTGGACAGACTTCGGGATACCTCGGTAAAATTTTTCCGAGGTTTACCGAGTTGGTCTCAAATCTTCAGTAAACCTCAGCGTATTCTAAGTTTTTGTAGGAATTTCTCGGAAAAAGGTACACTTTCTCGGTTTTTAGGTGCTAGTAGTGAAAGCTAATCAAACAAAATATTGGCAGTCATGTTTTTACTCTAATGACGGTTAATGAAGCCCCCGACCTTCATTAAGTCAAGGAAATGTGAATGACAACAACACATTAAAAGTGTCATACAACAGATTTTAATGGTGCATTAGTTAATAGCGGGTTAATGACAAGTTAATGAATCATTAATGTTTGATACAAGCGGGCCCAGATATTATGTTCAGATGAAAACCAAATTGAGGTTTTTAGCAACAGACATCAAAGGGGGGTTTTGGTGTAGATAGTGAGACAGCCATGCGTAAAAGCATCTCTTGCCCACTGTGAAGTATAGTGGTGGATTTTTGATGTTGTAGGGTTGTTATCCTTCCAAAGCCCCTGGATATCTTGTTCGGACACATGGTATCATTGACTCCATCAAATACCAGCACCTTTTAAAAGAAAGCCAAACAGGCTTTGCCAGAAAGCTGTAAATTGGCCATAATCAGAACTTCTGCCAAGACAATGATCTAAAGCACACCTCAAAGTCTACACAAATCAGTTAACCGACCACAGAATAAAGGTTTAGCAAAGGCCATCATAATCTCCTGATCTCATTTTCCTTATTTTTACTATAGGGCTCCAATAGTTCTGGAAGACACAGTAAAATTAAAGTTTACGATAAAAGACACACTTGATAGTAGCAAATTTTTCAATAAAGTACAGTTTTCACTGTTTGCAACATGTATTATGTACTTTACTTTCACATGCAGGAATTTCACCAAATTCAAGGGTCACTTGTTGCAGAATGTCCATAGTAAGCTTCATCATATTATAGCAGACACATAAATAATCCTTAAGATTAACAAACACCCACAGTGCTTACCAGGAGGGTCAGGGCATTCACCATGGTGAATTCATGGATTTGTCCACAATGTATATCACAGTGCTTTCTCTATAAGGTAAGGGACTGAGTGCCACTGAGCTATAAATTGGCAATGCCTAACTCATTTTGCTTAGCTAATATTTAACTTTTGTCTCTTTTTCAGCTGGTAAGAAGAGGGGGGGAATGTTGATTCAGTGCCATTAAAAGTATTTGCCCCCTTCCCAATTTCTTTTATTTTAGCTTATTTGTCATTTTAAAATGTTTAAAGGTAAAGAAAACATTTGTTTCAGCTCTAATCCAATAAAAGTAAATTCTTCTCGTTCCACAATAAATTTTTTGCGAATTTTTGCTATTTCTGTGCGCTGAGTAACCTAACGTCAAACCTCTGAAATACAACTCATTAGTCCAAGTTCATAAATGCTGCCATTCCGTATATTTTAGTCAATCAAAGACTACTTCTTGTGGGAATGTCCCGGATGTTATGACACTAATGGACACCAAGAATTCAGCTAAAGTGAATACAAATTAGTTTTGATTATCACTCGTGCTGCAGCTTAATTTTACAAAGAAAGATCAAGGTTCAATATTACTTATTATTATTAAAACCTTAGCAACAAAATCTGCCATAATGCTGCTGTATGCGGCTGTTGTTTGTTCCAAAAAAAACGGGAAACTCGGACCAATCAACCAAGATTCATCGGTTATGTTCTGCACAATTTTTTTATCAAGTTGATACAAGGAGCATGTTTACGCAATATATGGAATTGAGTCACCCAGCAAATATCAGAAGATTTTGAAAGATGATGCCATGCCAACGGAATTTAGTCACCGGCAGGCCCCTGAACTCAAGCGCCTGTCAACTTTAGCGAGGCTGGAGAAATGACAGCATCAGTTACAGGTAGGCTCAAATTTTATGGCTGCTATAGGTCTCAAAAAAGTTAGGACAGGGGCCTGTTTACCATGGCGTAGCATCCCTTCTTCTTTTTAACACAGAGTGGAGGCGTCGCTTTTCATTTAATTATGCGCCAAATGTTCTCAGTCGATGAAAGATCAGGACTGCAGGCAGGCCAGTTCAGCACACGGACTCTTCTTCTACGAAGCCATGCTGATGTAATAGCTGCAGTATGTGGTTTTGCATTGTTCTGCTGAAACACACAAGGCTTCCTTAAAATAGATGTCGTCTGGAGGAGAGCATATGTTGCTCTAAAACCTTTATATACCTTTCAGCATTCATGGTGCTTTTTAAAACATGCAAGTGTCCCACGCCATATGCACTAATGCATCCCCATACCATCAGAGAGGCTGGCTTTTGAACTGAACGCTGATAACAGGAGGGGTGGTATTTCTCCTCTTTAGCCCGGAGGACACAACGCCCATGATTTCCAACAAGAATGTCAAATTTGGACTCGTCTGACCACAGGACACTTTGCCACTGTGCTACAGTCCATTTTAAATGAGCCTTGGCCCACAGAACACGGTGGCGCTTCTGGATCATGCTCAACAATGGCTTCCCTTTTGCATGATAGAGTTTTCGGTGGCATCTGTGGATGGCACGGCGGACTGTTTACAGACAGCAGTTTCTTGAAGTATTCCTGGGCCTATTTAGTAATGTCAATGACAGAATCATGCCAGTATGTGATGCAGTGGCGTCTGAGGGCCCGAAGATCACGGGCATCCAGTAAAGGTCTTCGGCCTTGTCCCTTACGCACAGAGATTTTTCCAGTTTCTCTGAATCTTTTAATGATGTTATGCACTGTCGATGATGAGACCTTCAAAGCCTTTGCAATTTGACGTTGAGGAACATTGTTTTTCAAGTATTCCACAATTTTTTTTACGCAAGCCTTCATGGGTTGGAGAGCCTCTGGCCATCTTTACTTCTGAGAGACTCAGCCTCTCTAAGACATCCCTTTTATAGCCAATCATGTTACACACCTGATGCCAGTTAATGTAATTACTTGCTAAATGTTCTTTCAGCTGATTCTCTTATATATTAATTGCTTTTTCTGCCCTTTTTTGCCTGTGTCCCAACTTTTTTGAGACCTGTTGCAGCCAGAAAATTTGAAATGACCTCATTTTGTGGATAAACATGTAAAATATCTCAGTTTTAACATTTGAAATCTATTCTATGTTCTATTGTAAATAACATATTGCCTCGTGATCTGAAAGTCATTGCATTTTGATTTTATTCACAGTTTACATTTCATCCCTACTATTTCGGAATTGGGGTTGTATTTTCAACCTCTGCATACACAAGAGTTCCAGCGTCCAGGCGACTTGGCAAGTTACCCCAATTCCAACAAACATAGCACACCGCCAACAACGTATGTATCTGATCTTCTCCAGCTGATTTAGTTGTTTAAAAAATTTTTCAAAAATTATCCAAAGATATATTTGAATAGTAGGGGTAGTGTACTTTTATTAGGTGTCTCCTGTACCAAGTGTTTTCTTTTCCTGTGTAAGGCCATGCCTCCAGCCATCCAGCTCACCAGTCTGCTAAGACCTGGACCGCACTTCTGTCATTATTCAATTATCACTTGCATCTGTTGTTAATTCCCACTGGGTGGTAGCAGTGGTGTGTATATACACTACAGGCTAGAAGTTTGGAAGCAAGGCCAATACCG